GGATTATAATAAGAGGTGTTATTTTTAAAAACTTGAATTGCGAATGTATTTGGAAGGCGGGATCTATACAGCGTATTAATAGAGAGTGACGAGAGCAAAGCTGGCGCATCGATGTATGAGTGCAGAATCTTATGAAGGCAAATTAAATCGTATTTTGGTAACGTTTATATCTTGACTACAGTGCGAGATCACAAAATTTGTTGAAGCCTATCCGTTAAAAACAAAAAGTTCTGAGGCGGTAGCAAAAGCGTTTGCGGAGAATTTTATCCTGCGTTATGGCATACCGAGAGAAATAGCAACAGACAGAGGAACTGAATTTATTTCTAATACTATGAAAGAGCTGTGCAAAATTTTAAACATAAATCAATTAATGTCTACCGCTTACCATCATGAAAGCATTGGGTCATTAGAAAATACTCATAAGTGATTTGACGACCTCCTTGGCCGAGTGGTTTGTACGCCAGTACACATGCTCGTATTCATCACACAAACATCTGCCCCCACCGGGATTCGAACCCGGGACCTCTCTAGTCGGCGACACCATGAAACCTGGCGTACAAACCACTCGGCCACGGAGGTCGTCATATAGTTAGGTCTTCCGTTTCGATTTTGAGTTGTTGACATCTTCAAACAATACGAAGTAATTTATGGAGCTGGACTTCTTAGTAATATTCTCACCTAAATAAAGGCAGTAAATATTTGTATTTTAGAAGGATTTTTGACGTGACAACGTCTTAAATTAGGTTGCGGCTGGGAGTCACTTATGAAAAAGTGTAACGCTCGGTAACGTTACGATGAGTCTCTCGTGTTAAGTTTAAGTTTACATGTACAATGTTTTAGTAAACAAAATATATTTCTATAGTTAAAATTTGTGCAATTCTTATTTTCATTCAATTCCTTGTTCCTATTGTGCAATTTAATTATATTCATATCAATAAATATTCTACCGAGAAAAAGACGTTGTCACGTAAAATCTTCGCCCGTAAAACCGACTTTACAGACGACCTCCGTGGCCGAGTGGTTTGTACGCCGGGTTTCATGGCTGTCGCCGACTCGAGAGGTCCCGGGTTCGAATTTTGGAAGTGCAGTTTGTACTCTGTCCGCCCACAGATTAGTCATTCTTTTTTATTTTTGGTTTTTTATTAAATCTTTGCACTTGTCTTAAGGCTAAGATTGTAAAATTATCCAGCCATTCCTTTTTTTTACTTTTGGATATGTACTTATTGGTATGCTTGTTTCTTTTGGTGTATTATTGTTGTTTTATTTATTATCTGTGTCATTAACCTTAGCCCCTGCCAGAATTATCAGCGCTGCAGCAGTCCTGGTGTTGCTGTAGTATTAAGCTGAGGCAGGGACCTAGCTGGCCTATTTTGTTCTGTTTTATTTATGTAAATCTGACTGTGTTTAAGGCTTATAAATTTATTTCTATTGTATTCTTTAAGGAAAATGCATGTCCGTATTCAAATTTTATTTTTTTGGAAACCAAATACAGTAATTAAAATTATGTCATGTTGAAATTAAAACTATGATATTAATATTTATCATGTGCCTCATTTCTCCTTTTTACAAAAATATAACGCATACCTTCTGTAGCTTTAGATTTGTATTTGCTGTTTTTCTGCTTATTTGTAACTTGTTATTTTAAGTATTTTAACACTGATTTGCAGTTGGAGTGAAGCCAAACAAATAAACTCAGCTTACTCAAGCGTGTGCTGACGTTAAGTTGTCAATTGTGGTAGATGGCTGAATAACAAAATTTATTTTAAAAACATTTCTTGCATTAACTTAATTTCATATCTCTTTGAAAATTTGTTTGTATACATACCTTGTCCTGACAACAACGACACATTAAAAAAAGAATTATCCAATATAGTTCAGTCACTCGGAAGTGACGTGCATACATAACTTTCGACAATTCATTATATATATTATACTAGCTGACCCAGTGAACTTCGTACCGCTATAAAAATAGGGGCTGGTGGTAGAAGAGAAAATTTGGGGTTGTTTGAATTTTTAATACCACATTATAAAAAATAAATATTGTCCAAAATAATTTTAAGGGTGTGTAACGTAGTGTTCTATTAATTTCCTAGGATAACATTCCTCCTAACCCATATGAGAACACTACGTTACAATACCCAATAGTTTGAATTTAGGCGCGAAGGCGCATTGTAGGTTTCAAAAAACTACGTTACAGGTGGACAACCATTATCACTTAAGGATATGAAAAATAGATAGTAGCCGATTCTCAGACCCACGGAATATGCATATAAAATTTCATAAAAATCGGTCAGGCCGTTTCGGAGAAGTACGGTAACTAACATTGTGACTTGAGAATCTTTATATACATAATTCTTCTGTGAGTGTGTATGTCACTGAACTTCTCTTAAACGACTAGACCGATTTTGATGAATTTTTTTGTGTGTGTTCAAGGGGATCTGAGAATGGTTTAGATTCATAATTTTGTCCGCTGGACAATGTTTTTTTAATTAATTTTTAATTTATTAGTAGTTGTTGATTTTGGAATGTTTTACATTGGATCCGACAGACGGCGCTACCATCGCAGTGTCAAATTTTCAAATTAAAGACGTGTAGACAGGACAACGTCTGTCGGGTCCGCTAGTTTTATATATAAGATTTTCTTAAGGCCTGTTTCGTCGTGTCAAATTGGTGCAGTGGGCAAGGTCACCAGAGCTGCAAGCCGTAAAGGATAGGGTCAGGGCAGGCAACTTGTGACCTCTGACATCACCACCATCATTAGGGTTCTCAGAGAACAGCAGCAGAGCCTCATTGTGTGCATGCGTCCACTGTACGTCCGTCTGTCTGTGAGTTTACCGCCTGTTACTCGTATTAATCGCAATGATCGCATTTTTTTTTGTTTCCTCCCAGGCGGGGGAGAGGGTGAGAAATCCTCGCTACTACAGCCGGCTGTAAGGTTATGTCAGACTCTTACTGACTAAAAAACACCCTTTATTCATGCTTATGGCCAGAAGGGCCTTACAAGCTTCATCTGAAGCGATCACTCCCCGAGAGGGGGATGCATAGTGCATAGTTTAAAATAACGCAAAATGCGCTTAGAGGACAAGTGCACTCAGAAGCTTGACATGGTTATTCTGTGTATTTGTGTTCATATAATTAGGCAACAAACGCTAACACTTTACACTCAGTTTACTTACAGAACAAAAAACATAGCGAATACTATTATATCACAATAGGGTAGTTGACAAGTTTTAGAAAACGATCTCTATTGTATAATATTTATGGAGTCCGTAAAAAGTGGATATTCATAATTCTGTTGTGTATTTCAGCAAAAATAACCATGTCATAAACTCCATTTGCAAGTTGCCGCGAAAACGTTTCTCTGGACAATATGGCGGCTTACTAGTGTGTGACGTCACACGACTGTTATTAGAACGTCAAACGATACATTGTAATGTCACTTTAACCGGAAGTTTACTTGCGTGTGACGTCATTTTAGGCTCCGCCAATCACTAGCGTTTTGGGTCACGTGACAATAGATAAGAAAACTATTATCGTTTTCATGAGGTTTTAGTAAAATTATGAATATTTTTTGAAGTTATACTTCTTTAGGCGCGTTATGAAAAAATGATGAGAGTGAAATTTTAAGATGCGCGCGCATCACTGTAACACAAAATTTTAACAGCATGAAGTTGGTCGCTTTAGCGACCAACTTCATGCGTTACTTTTGTGTTTACCGCACATTAAGAAAATCTACCAACAAAATAGAAATAGAATCTCTATTTAGTGGGTGCTAACGACTGCATTGTGAAGGCCTATCAAAAGTATTTATTAATCTGGAACAACGGAACCAAAGCGCGATTCAGGAGACTACAACGCCATCTCTTGACCATTGGTGAAGTAGAACCAAAAACCACATCTTTATTTTTTGTAATAAAGTAACAGTTATAGGTATTCATATTTATAATTAATTATTTGCATGCAATTAAAAACTAATTTTAAACGATGCCAAAGAAGGTTAATTTCTCACGCGCCTACATAAGTACACGCACCCATTTTTTTTTTGTAAAAATAGTGATAATCCCTGCCAATATTCATTTTAAACACAGATGCTAACAATTGGCACTTTATTTTAACACTGTAAAATACCCTATTCGCATAAAGCACCGAGATAGAGGAGCGCACTAAAACCTACAATCACACGAGTAAAGAAACGGTGATAATAAAGTAATTAGTGTGCTCGGACCACACATCTGAAGTGAAAACTTATTTTCTTAAATAACCTAATATTTGCCTTATGCATAGGGGAATGGAGCAGCTTACGCATCACTCAAATATATGTATATATACCTATATCTTTATATATATAATTCTTCTGTGAGTGTGTATGTCACTGAACTTCTCTTAAACGACTGGACCGATTTTGATGAATTTTTTTGTGTGTGTTCAAGGGGATCTGAGAATGGTTTAGATTTACAATTTTGTCCGCTGGACAACCCCTATTTTTTTAGGGCGGTACGAAGTTCACTGGGTCAGCTAGTATATATATATATTTATATGTAGTCGCTTGAGACGCTCATAGCGTTTCAGCTTTCGCCGAGTTACCCTCTAACTTTCGTGCTCGTCTCGAAGAGCTGCGCACGTAACGCACACGCACACACACGCACAGACATATATATATATATATATATATACATATATATCGTGACGCATTTCCGTTTCATCTTTTCCATTTACACCCCGTTCGAAAAGAAGTTTCACTTTTTGCGTTGTGTTTTGTTTTTATACTTTATTAAAACAGGGTTAAATGAAAAATAAAACGAATTTCTAAAAAACGTTATATTTTCGCAACATTTTTGACTAGAAAATTAAACAGAGGCCGAAACACAAATTTTGATAGCTCCGTGATCTTATCGTCGCGTCGCCATCAAATTTTGTACGGAAGGATCTAGTTTGTCCTGACGTCTGGCAGCTTAATTTTAATAAAAACTTTTTATAGAAACCATACGCAAAATTCGTGCTTGGGACTAACTAAGAGCATTTTGTACGGTGGTGCAGAAGCGCAATGTGTGCGCAACCCTTCGTTTAAGAGTCCCACTCAAAATTGGCTCATTTTTTTTTTATTAAAAGAATGGAAAAGAAAATGGCCTTTGTTTAAACGTAAGTGGAGTCCAAATATAGACAGTTGATGTGGCACACGCAGCGGTCGCACCAGTGACCCTCACCTTGATGGTTTGAATTCTACCTTGTCAACATTAATTTTTTTTTTGTTTCCACCCAGGCGCAGGAGCGGACGGAAATACCTCATGGATACCCTATAGCCGGCAACAGGGTTATCTTAGATTCTGACTGACTAAAACTCACCCGTGGGGGGATGCCTATGTCCATAAGGGCCTCACAAGCTTCGTCTGATCCGATCAACCCCTGAGAAGGGGACGATGCAGTCATTATAAACCTACTTAATCAACTAACTTAATTTGATAGATTATGGTCCTTTCACCAAGTAGCAATTTGCCAACTCAATCAGATGCCAAGCTTTCGTATTTATAAACATAGATGACTAGGCAGAAATTTCTAGTTATACAACATATACGCGGCTAAACCAGATGAGTTAGGTTTAAACGAGATTTAAGCAGGAAAAGGACGTTGTCCGACCCGCTGACTGGCTGGCTGCCTGCTGCGAAGTTACGCAAGAGTTGCGCGCGGGCGTCAGCGTAGTTCATGAGTTTATTCGTTACAAAAACACAAATCTTTAACGTTTTATAATATTGAGAATAAGAAGATGATTCGACAGAAATTTCTAGTTACATAGACGTGGACAAAGCGAGTTAGGTTTAAACGAGATTTGAGTAGGGAAAGGACGCTGGCCGGTGGTAAGTTGCGCAAGAGTTGCGCGCTCGCGTCGAGCTCCGCTGCGGCGTGGCCAGTCGCCATGCCGCGTGCGCGGACGTTGTTCGCCGCTTTAGCTCTGTTGATCGTCGCCGCTGCAGCAGCCGATGCTGTCGACGTCGATAACGACGAACATGTGCACGATGACTCCCAAGATATCAGTGGTACTGTGTGTGTTTTATGCTGTGATTAATCTAGGATAAGTCATGGAAATTTTGGTGAAGTAACACTCGATTGGGAGGACCTTTTATTTAGTTTTTATTTGTTATTGATGAAAGGGCTTGTTAATGGTATAGATTATAGATAGAGGGATACTTGTTTGAATTGGAGATCCTTAAACGAATAAATGGGAAAATTTTAAATGTAATGTGTCTATGATTTTCAAAAGGGTAAGGTGATATTTAGTTTCAAGTAGGCAAGATGAGAGGTCGCTGGAGTGTCAAATCTCAGCTGTACCAGATATTTTCGTAACGGGTTTTCAAAAGTCACCGACGGTATGCGTGGAGAAATAAGCTGACCTATTTTATAATGAATAAAATATTAAATTAAATGGACATAACCTTCATAACAGCAAACAAATAAAATGAATTATAAATATTAGAAAAAATTTTCACCATTAACAGGTATCTTTAAATCGTATCTAAGATGGGTTTAGATTTGAAAATATTTTATTGTCGTCTTTCACCACAGAAAGGAGAAAATATGCAAACACTTTAAAATGAAATGCAATGACACAAACACTCAGATATAAATAAATATCCATGTTCAAAGCTCATTTTAAACGTCATAAAGATTCTCTCTGCTACTTACCATTAGTTAATTTTAAAGATATCATTTATATCCTTAAGAGCCCTTTTACAAAATTGCGCCGCTGCCGTACTGATCGGCGCGTAGGTAGATTTGCACTAGTATATATTGCATTTTACGGGTGATGTTTCGAGTCCTATAAAATAATTATTAATGCACTAATTATAAAAATATAAACATATTTCAGTAGTTAATGATGGTAGATTAGTTCCATGAAAGTTTTTGATAGTTATTCTATTTAATTCAATATCAAAATACGAGGTAAACCTGCATTATTTTGTTGGGAAAACTCACGGAGGTTAGATGTTTTATGATAATTAATAAGATGGAAAAACAAAATTCTAATATATTATGTTACAACGAAACATATTTCTGATATCGTAGTAATTAATTTGATCTAATTTATTGAACATTATTTAGAGATTCAGGCGTTTGAAGTTGTGCATATTATCGTTTTATCCGTAAACTAGCTGCGGTAGAACAATCAGTACAAAAAAAAGAAAATAGTATAATTTTTATTATTTTAAAGCATGTAACTGCTTGATGTTTAAACATGACATTTTGGGTTACCTATAATGCGAAGAGATGGCGCTGCCTTGCAGCTTAAGAATGGCTAGAAGAATTTCGACGCGGTCAATAGGGCCGTGGTAGCATAATGGTCAGTGCATTCGCCCGGATTGCGAAGGGTGCGGGTTCGAATCCCGTCTGCTGCCTGGTCCACGTGAATTTTTTTCTAGTTATATTTTCTTAAGAAAATAGTATTTGCAATTATTCTACATTAACTTACAATAGGAAGAATAAATCTACTGTTTACTTCTATTGGAAATAGTCAAAATCTTTTCTAAAGGAGTAAACAAGGCGCTCAAAAATTACGATTTTTTGCAAAAAATGTGAAAGGGCACTTAAGCTCACATGTTCGTGGTGCTATTACAATGTTTTAGGCATTCAGGGTTACGTAATCTGCTTCTCAAAAGTATATTGACGTGTTAGGTATTTTTGCAGCTGTGGCATCTTGCATTTTAGGTTCTGTGCTCATCTATCTATATATATAAAACTCAAAGGTGTCTGACTGACATAGTGATCTATCAACGCACAGCTCAAACCACTGGATGGATCGGACTGAAATTTGGCATGCAGGTAGATGTTATGACATAGGCATCCGCTAAGAAAGGATTTTGATCAATTCTACCCCCAAGGGGATAAAATAGGGAATGAAAGTTTGTATGAAACTTTGTCAATTTTAAACCGATCGGGCTGAGACTTTGCATGCAGGTATAAGAAGAATCATAGATGAATGTCATTGTGTATAATACAAGCCTGAGAACAAAAACTGTAGTCTACACCGAAGCGAAGCGAAGGCGGGCCGCTAGTAATGTCATAAAATTATTTTGTTTTGTCCCGTCTGCTGTCTGGTCCGCGTGGAATCTTTTGACGTGACAACGTCTTAAATTAGGTTGCGGCTGGGAGTCACTTATGAAAAAGTGTAACGCTCGGTAACGTTACGATGAGTCTCTCGTGTTAAGTTTAAGTTTACATGTACAATGTTTTAGTAAACAAAATATATTTCTATAGTTAAAATTTGTGCAATTCTTATTTTCATTCAATTCCTTGTTCCTATTGTGCAATTTAATTATATTCATATCAATAAATATTCTACCGAGAAAAAGACGTTGTCACGTAAAATCTTCGCCCGTAAAACCGACTTTACAGGCAACCATTTTTTTTAGTATAATTTTCTTTAGATTTAAACATCTAGCAGTTATTTGCTTAAAAAGAAATAAAATTATTATATTGTTATCAAAATATTTAAAGTTATTTTTATAATTATTTCAACAATTTCAACACTTTTCTTTTAAAGAAATAATCATGCTTCTTATCAGCTAAACATAGGTTCGACCATAGAGCAGCTCGGAAGGGACTAGCCATAGCGACTTAATACTATTCAAATCATTCTGTAATTTTTTGAGGGGGGAATAAACAATAACAAAATACGTCGCCAAATCCAGCACACATGTATCGTTTTTATGCCCAATTTGTTATGCCGAACGACAGAGGGGCAAGCTCTGTATGCCCGTCCTAGCCGCGTCGGTCGTGTTGCTCTATGGTTGCGGCAAACCTCTTTTTTTTGTATCCCCAAGGGGATAAAATAGGGAATGAAAGTTTGTATGAAACTTTGTCAATTTTAAACCGATCGGGCTGAGACTTTGCATGCAGTTATAAGAAGAATCACATATGAATGTCATTGTGTATAATACAAGCCTGAGAACAAAAACTGTAGTCTACACTTCGGCTCTACACCGAAGCGAAGCGAGGGCGGGCCGCTAGTTATACCTATATTTCTGTCAGTGATTAAGGTTTAATGAAAGGATTAGGGATTGAGCTTTGGCAAAGGTGAGGATAACGTAAAGCGGCATACTTTGTGCCACATCAAGAGCTATCTTAGCTGTTGGAGTAGACTTATATTTAACATTACAGGGGTGAGATAATTTAGTATAACATGATCAAAAATGGTGAGGGATGATGACTAATTTTTTTTTCTTCGTTTATCAGGTAGATTATCAAAAAGTATTGGACACGTATTTTTTCTTTTTTCACATAATATGAACATTGCAGAGATATATTGATTTGAAAAGTCGCATGACGTCACGTTTGAGTACACTTATAAGGGAAAATTCACTCAAAAGTGACGTCACGAGCCCCTACTCCCAAACTTTGACGCGCTATATCTTTGTCATTTTTTGGTTGATTGCCCAAAGAATAATACGTGTCCATTATTTTGAGTCATCCAACCGATGGACTAAATAGAATTTCGTTTACTGTACCCCGTCATCACCCCTATTGAAAGTAATTTCGGAATGTAAGCATATTACTGAAAATTATCGGAAAATTTATAGAAGTTGATGTTACTCCGACTCTAGAAGACACAAAAAGCGGGAAATAAAAACAAGACCTATCTCGACAGGGAATCGAACCTGGGCCGCAGACGTAGCAGGCGAGTTTTCCATCACTGAACTTACTGCTGCTTGTTGATGACAAGCTTTGTTTTTTTTAATAACAATTAAAAATGTAATGTTGCATGCTAAAGATGAAACCTCAGCTCAATGTAATGTCATTAAAGACGACCTCGTTGGCGCAAGTGGAATGTATGTACAATGGTTTTCAATGTCTCGCCCACTCTGCGGTCCAGGGTTCATATCCCAGTGGGGGTTGTATGTCGAATACGAGTATGTCACAGTGTACCTGAGTCATGTCACAGTTGCCATAAATTTTGACAGAAAATTTTCTGGTTAAAATTTAATTTTTTCAGCATTTTACTGCTAGATGATTAAATCTAAAGAAAAATTTACTAGAATGACGACCTCCGTGGCCGAGTGGTTTGTATGCCGGGTTTCATGGTGTCGCCGACTCGAGAGGTCCCGGGTTCAAATGCCGGTGGGTGCAGATGTTTGCGTGATGAATACTAGCATTTGTACTCCAGTCATGGATGTTTAATATGTATTTTTATAAAAATATACTTAAATATGTACAGCATATATGTATTCTATCCGTTACCCTAGTATTCCATAAAACAAGCCTTATAGTGCTTACTTTGGGGCTAGGCTAATTGGTGTGACTGTTAAAAATACTTATTTATTTATTTATTTATAAAATTTCCCGCGGACCAGGCAGTAGACCGGACTTTGCTATCTGGGCGAATGCACTGACCAATAGGCTACTGCGGCTCTGATGGCCGTGGCGACTACCTGTCTACTGCCTGAACCGCGTCGAATTTTTCTAGTAAAATTTTCTTCAGAAACTTTTCTATCTGTTACCTTAACACCTTAAAATGCTTTAAGGCTAGGCTAATTGCTATGAGTGTAAGAAGTATTGTGTTTTTTTCGGTTAAATATTGTAATCTTCCATTTTAATATTTAATTTGATCAACTATCATTACCAACCAATAATTCCCGAGTTATTATGTGATTTGTATACCATTTGATAATATTAAAACAAGCAATGCCCGATGATAACCAGGATGTGACCTAACATTATGGCTACCTAGAAAGTTACCCAGTCTAGCCGTATAAAGACCTGCTAACTAGTGGTGATCAAGGAATACGTAAGCAAGCTGCGCATTTTAATCTTTAACGTTTCGCGATTCTCAAAGCTTCTATAAAATTAAAATATTACATCAAATAATATCTTATAATTATTCTGTTTTGTCCCGTCTGCTGTTTGGTCCGCGTGGAATCTTTTCTAGTATAATTTTCTTTAGATTTAAACATCTAGCAGTTATTTGCTTATAAAGAAATAAAATGATTATATTGTTATCAAAATATTTTTATAACTATTTCAACACTTTTTTTTAAAGAAATAA